GCGCTTGGAGTGGACCTCGAGCACCAGCCCGCTCAACCACTCTCTGGGACCGATGCTACTAGTAGATAGGCATCCCTCGAGAAACCTGCATGCCGTCGATATCGTGTCCTCCCCCTCTCCGTATCTGCAAGTCGGTGGCCAGAATCCTGCAGCTCCGACGCTGGCCCATCGTTGTCGATTGACTTATCTGTAGGCCGGCTAAACACTGCGCTACCGTCATGGTGCGTCGCACCTGGACGACTCCACCCCTGCCGTCTGACTCTGTCGACTAGAACCTGGCCTGACTCAAAAATAGCCCGGGAGGGCATGGCGTCATGCAACAACCTCAAGGTTCGAGACAAACAGTCTGCGACGTGTGGCTGCCCAGTGGCGAGCTGCTTGATGTGCTGGACAGATGCCTTCAATCTAGGCAGGCCATGGTGCTAATCTTAACAACGGGACATCCGCCGGGGTCCTTATCGCTGGGAGCGGGTGACAATGCGTAGCCAAGGGTGTCGTCTACCACGTTGGACCTGTGCTGTCACCCTACACCACGTTTCGGAAAAATAAACGAATGATAAAAGCAATTCGCAGGGTCCTAGGCCCGCGTCAGTTCATAGCAGAATCCATCATTGTGTACGCTCACCCAGCAATCCACACGCGGCCCATTCTTCGGTCTTGGCCTGCAGAAACTTACCAGGATTTCGACGTGGGTTGATGGCCACCTCGGACGGTTTGGGACGCCAGGTGCCCGGTTTGGCCATGGCCAAAGCACCTCCAAGTGGTCCCACTCTCTACCATTTCCTTAGTCGCCGTCGAGCTGAGGCTGGCTGGTAGATGGCGCTACCCAATGCCGAGGGCGATAGTTGCCTCTTGCAAAAAGTAAATTCTCCTCGTCGGGACAAACGTCAACAGCAGCGGCAGAGCTAATCTTTAGCCGCCATTGTGCTGGCTCAGGCACAAGCGTCGGACATGCCAGCGGCCATGAAACTTAGACATGCCTCCTTTTGACCCCGATCTCGATCATGACAAACAATCTCGACTATCTTTAGGCCGATGAAGCACCCCTTCGTTATCGTGTTAGTGGCCTTGCCCATCGTTCCGACACCGAGGCACGCTGGGCGGAAGAGCGACCGGGGCGTGCACGGCAGGGTGTGTGATTTCATGTCAGGATCGCTAGGTCCACTTGGTGGCCTGAGATTCCGCCCATTCTGGATTATCATGGCTGCACGGCGGCGTTTGTGACAGACGCAGTGACCTTTCTCGGGACGCTCGCGTAGTGACTCTTGTTGAGATTCGAACGTGCTAGACCAGGGGGGACGCCGACTATTCGATAGTGTGTAGCATGAGTGTATCTCTGACCGTGGTGGCTACGGGCTGGACCGGGGCGGAGCTTCGCGTAGGTGAAGGAAATTCTGTACACACTACCAGCTGTGCCGCCTTGATAACCACTGCTCTGCGACCCCTTCGGCTCGTTTTCAGTTCTTCACTCTTGTCACTCTTCGCAGGGCTACTTGCCCATTCCTTCGTTTCTGGGTCTTGGACGTCACGTTTGCCTCGTGGCATCCCCTTTGAGCCTTTTTTACTATCGCTTAGCAGTAATCCTCGTTAATCCGTGCTCACGTACCATAATCGTCGTCGCATGTCCAACATGTCTTCCGCCACCCCTTCCCAGGATGGGAACAGACCCGTCATCCCCTCAAGCAGGCAGTCGTTGAGTGACAGCGTCAGCGATTCGCGCTACTCTGTGCCCCAAACTCCCAATGGCCGACCTCCTGTGTCGCGACCATTGACCATGAAGATTGATGAAGATTCGAGATACCGTGCTGTAAGTATCCTCACTCATGCATCACGTGCCATGGCGCTGATTTCCCCAGATCATCAAGCATCTCCACGCCAAGGCATGCTCAATGCGTTGGATGACTTCTGGAGCTCAATCACCTGGCTCTTGCGAAGGTGTCTTGATCCGCAAGGGTCAAGGAGAATATGTCTCGGAGCCCGCAACTGCAGACCAGGATCTCGTGGCTGCAGTCAAGAGAATCAATCCCGGTGTCGCTCTCACCATGAGCACTGATGGTACACAAGCCGTGTTCGATGTCCTCGAGCCTTTTGAAACCGAGTTGATGTTCCAGAACGGTTCCCAGATCCAAATATTCGAGTCCATGGCAGAAGTCGCTACATCTAGCACCATCCGCAAGTTCCAGTATGCTGCCCTCATCCGACAAGAAAGGCTCCTGCTTGTCTGGCACGATGACCTTGGTGCCATTCTTTCTCAGGCCATGGAAGTCGAGTCCAGAATCCTCGGTCTCGTCTGGGGTACAGCCAAGAACCCCTTCAGCGGCTTCGACAGCGCCGTTCAGTCCAGTGCAAACTCCACGCTTGGCGGCTCCACAATGGATTTCGATATGGGTAAGAAAGAAGACATCGAAGTCTCCACTGAGGAAGTCGATGCCGACCCCGAGAAGGGACAAGGCCCCAAGGAATCGCTTGCTCGTCCACTCATTTTCACTAGCTCCCTCTACATCGGTCTCGCTATGAGCTTGATCTTGGTTCCAGTCTTGGGACTTGGTAACAGGGCGCTTATCCTCGAGACCATGACTGATAAGTTCTACCCTCGTCTTCTGCTCATCCTCGTTGAACCATTCTGGATCGCCTTGGGTCTTTTCTTCGTCGTCGTCGTCCTGGGTAACATCTTCCAAGTTTTTGGTCCCATCACTGGTGTCCTGACCAACAGTCGCTTCCACTCTGCCATCAAGCCGAATCTGGCCCAGGCCCGCTCTCTAGGTTTCACCCCGTCGACAATCACCATCCAGATGCCCATCTACACCGAATCTCTAGAGGGTGTCGTCAAGCCCACCGTAGCCAGTTTGCAAGCCGCCATCTCTTACTACGAATCCCGTGGTGGAACCGCACGCATCTTCATCAACGATGATGGTATGGCTGTCCGTTCGGAGGAGGACAACGAAAAGTTTCTCCGTTTCTACGAGAACAACAACATCGGATGGGTCTCGCGTCCCAAGCACAACCACGAGGGTTTCGTCCGCCGCGGAAAGTTCAAGAAGGCTTCCAACATGAACTTTGCTCTCAACACCTCCAACCGTGTCGAGGATGTCCTCCAACAACTAGTCGACGCTCGCTACCCCGGCAACGCCTCCATCACCGAAGAGCAAGAGCTTACGCTATACCACGAGGCCCTCAATCAGGTTCTTACCGCTGATCCTCGCGCCAAAGCTGGTGGTAACATCCGTATGGGTGAGATTATTCTTATCGTCGATTCCGATACCATCGTTCCCGAAGACTGCCTCATGTACGGTGCCGCCGAAATGTACCTCTCGCCCGAAGTTGCCATTGTCCAACACGCCACCGGTGTCATGCAAGTTTCTTGGGATTACTTCGAGAACGGTATCACTTTCTTCACCAACCTCGTCTACGCTGCTATTCGCTTCGCTGTCGGCAGCGGTGAGGTCGCTCCTTTCGTCGGTCACAACGCTTTCTTGCGCTGGCAGGCTGTTCAGTCTGTTGGCAACCCTCCTGAAGAGGATGGCTACGTCTGCTTCTGGTCTGAGAGCCACGTTTCCGAGGACTTCGATATCGCGCTTCGTCTCCAGATTGCAGGCAACATTGTTCGTCTTGCCAGTTACCACGGCCGCGGGTTCAAGGAGGGTGTATCGCTCACCATTTTCGACGAATTGGATCGCTGGGAGAAATACGCTTACGGTTGCAACGAGCTTGTCTTCAACCCCCTCTACACCTGGCTATGGAAGACCCCTTTCACCAAGCTCTTCCGCACCTTCCTCTGGTCCAACATTCAGCTTTCTTCCAAGATTTCCATCTGCGGTTACATTTTCTCGTACTATGCTATCGGATCCGCTGTTCCTCTCGGTGCTCTGAATTACTTCCTGGTCGGCTGGCTCAACGGTGAACTTGACAAGTACTACATCGAGTCCTGGAAGAGTAAGTCCACATCCTGTTCCTTAGTAGATCCTCCGCTAACATCACCTAGTCTTTGTCACCTTGTTGGTTGTATTCAACTTGATGTCCAACGCCTGCTTTGCCATCATGCGTTATCGTATCGGCGAGGCCAGCCTTATCGGTGCCTTTGCTGAAAACATCAAGTGGATGCCCTTCTTCATGGTCTTCTTCGGTGGTGTCTCGTTCCACATCCTGCTCGCCATCTGCTCTCACATGTTCTGCATCGACATGAGCTGGGGTGCCACAGCCAAGGAAAAGGACAACTCCAACTTCTTCGCCGAATTGCCCAAGATCTGGAAGCGCTTCAAGTGGATGTATATGCTCATGTTTGCCTTCATCGGTGGCATGATTTACCTCGGTTGCTTCGCTCCTCACGGCTGGGAGATTACCGGCATGACTGCTGTTGTTCCGTAAGTACCATTTCCTACTCCTACTTGATTGGCCTGTCACTAACTCTGCCCAGTTGGTCCGTCACTGTAATCATGCACTGCCTGGTGCCCATCGTCCTCAACCCGTCTTTGACGGTCTTCAACTACTAAGTTCGTTTTATGATTAGATGGTTTCTCTTTTTGTCGGATCTGCAGCTGCGGCGTTGGAAAATTGGCGGCCAGTTGGCATACTTGGTCGGTATACACGGAGCGGATTATCGCATCTAAAAGGGCTTCGTTTCCCTCATCATCATCGCCTTTACTAGACTCTCAAGGCCTTTCCTTGTGTTAATTTTTATTCAATATGAAGTAGTATTTCCATACTCACAGTCGGTTCCTCTCATTGGGGGCCTACCCTGCCGTTCATTTGCCACTCAGCCCTGCCCCACTTCCGAGGTGATTGTTTCGCATCCATTTTTTCGCGTCTCCTCATTGTCGCAAGGTAATAGAGATAGATTCAAGATGAACATGAGTTGGTTGTAGTGTGTTGTGTCGTGATGGTGAGCCGGATGTGTCGGGCAGCTCTGCGATATGCATGAACTGGACATTGTACGTACGGCAGGCACGCGGTGGTCGGGGCCAGCTGAAAAAGCAACCAGGAGGGCCTCGACTGCGCGCACCACCTACACACACTCCAGCACTCGCCCGGTCCATTTGTGCGCCATTGTCGAGCCGTTGGGTGCGCCATCTGGTAAGACGAGCCGTGATCTTTTTTTGATAGGCTGACCGGATTCAAAATTCAAGTCTAGACTGCCACTTCAGCCCACTCAACCATGGTGGGCGTCGTCTTCAGCTTCAGTCTCCATTCAAGCGCCCGACGCGCTCATGATCAGACATGCATTTCAGACACTGCAACATCATCCATCGTGATCGGACTTTTACCAGACAACTTCTCTTTTACACTGCAGAACAGTCTAGGTTTCGCTTATGACCCTCTGGGCGTAATGCTGCACCACACGAGGCATCCCGATTTCCGCCATGTGACACTGGTAGTGACGTGCGCGACCGATTCTGGGTAGCGTACAACACGGCTTGCCAACCGCGAGCAGGTATACGCATAGGGCTCAGGAAGAAGTTGCGTCGCTTCTCTTAACCAGCAGCCCTACAGCTAAGTCCAATGTCTACGGTGACGCAACTTCTCTCCCCCAATGAAGAGTTTACGCAAGATGGGTGTTGAGTCGTGTACTGATGTCTTTCAGCCTAAATCATACGATTTCCCGCTTAAGATGTACAAAATGGCTCTGGGGATGTCCTCTCAAGCCTTAGCTTCCGCCACACAAACTAGGGCCGTCGGAGAATGCAGCATTTTGCGGATCCGGATGACCCAGAGGCTTGTGAGATCCGGGTGACCACGGCTCAACTGCTGTAGCTGAACCAAATCGAAGCGAATGGAACTTTGGCAAACCTGCGTGCAACTTGTGAAACTGAAGCAGTCTGATGGCGCAGTGAGAAGACCGAAGTCACTCAAAGGGATGCTTAGGCATGGCGCAAATGCTCACTATCATGCCCTCGAACACACTGGTTAGTGGTCTGTTGGCGACAGCTCAACCAAAATTCTTGCTTAGTCTTATGATATGAGTAAAAAAGGGAGTAAATGCACATGAGCTGAAGTTTTCGTCCAATCGTTCGGAGACCGATATGCGCGCATGGTATCTCCTGAGCGCCATCATTAATACTGATACACGGGGGCGGAGTATCATGCAGTAATTTCTTCCGGGCACAACACTGATTTTGTATTACTTTCACTGAAAGCTCCTGGCCAAAGAAGCTACTACAGTGCTGTCAGCAATACCAATACTTGATGCCTGCCCGAAATCGCCGTTAGGAAGCCTATTAACTTAGACCGAGAATTCTATACACTTCATGAGATTCTGTATTCTATTCGATCCGTTGTTTCAGTTGGACTTGTACAAAACCAGCAGTTTCTTTCTCTTATATATCTATTACATATCATGCGAAGGTTATAGAAAGGAAGAACTAACACTGACAAGAGTTAGGCATGTGGCACGTCGATATGCATATTCACATAGTTTTGAGGCGCAATCGCATCATCGTGGATATGTGTGCTGAGTGGGGGATTTCAGGAAGCAGCATTCATTGAGAGAGGGGAGAAGCCTCATGTCCAGCCTCACACATCAACATGTGTTCTTCGTGTGCCAGCGCATGCGAAATGGACAGGCTACCACCCGATTTTGGATGATATAAAATCATCAAAATTCAGACGCAGCTTGCCTTCTGCTCAGTTTGCTTGGGATCGCCAAGTGGCGTTCGACTCGTATACAAGTCATGGGCACAGCCCTAGGCGTACTCCGAGAACTGCAATACCCCACACAAATAAACGCCCAACTCGAGCGCACAATAAGTCAGATGGCTATAACTCACTCAATTACAAGGAGAATAAATCAGGCACCCGTAACTGTATCAAACCCTTATTGGGACCCTAATCAAGTCTGGACCTGGAGATTGTAGACTGATAGTTGGTGAAAACAAGGCTGTGCGCACTTAGAGGGGGCTTAAACCACGAGAAAACTTGGCTCATCTTATACCACTCTACTGATTTAATCAAATGGGCTTGATGTGCTCTGATGTATGCCTACTCCTCGACTGAACCAGGCTTTTGCTTCGCTTGGGGAGCATGACATGGTGGTGGCTGAGCCGACCCAAGGCGAAAGTCAGCCGCGGCTGAAAACAGCAACTGATATTTGAATGCTGGCATGGTTGCAATAGTCAACCTACAATTCAGTCGAATTTCAATAATGGGCTGGTTTAGCAAACCCAAAAGCAGTTTCAAAGTACCGTCAGTTCCACCTGCCGGCGCACCAGATTCCACGCCAACAGCGTCTACAATAGCCCACGGCGTGGATCCACCATTTCTATCTGAATACGGACCCGGAGCGAGCCCTGCTAGCAATTATTATAGCACAGTTTATCAGTCTGATACGACCACACCTCAGTATTTAACCACGATCCATGAGGCGATACCTTCAGCAGCGTCGTTAGAGGTCAGATCCAATGAAATCCATCAAAACTCCTCGACATCACACCACCCACCAAAGAGGATAGTAGATATTGAAGACTTACGAAACTATGCCCCAAGATCTATAGGACATATTCCAATTCCGCTCCAACCGGCGTCACCGGTCGATTCGGTAACATCAACGGATGTCAATGAGCATGCATATCCTCAGCAATCCACAACTCCTATAGCGGACCAGTTTTCAGTCCTACCTCCGACCCAAACAGTTAGTTCGCCGACTACTGGTACTCTGACCAAGCCAACATGCTCTTTAAACCTTATGTGCTACAGATCTGGCAGCCAGGGCTGCGTAAGACGCCAAATCCATGTACTCAGCCAAGCCCGGTTGGGCATATCTCGAGACGATTACTCCAAAATAGCTTCCGTAAAAAATTCAGGTGGTTTAATTCGAAGCGACAAAGAGTTCTTCGCTGCCCTCCATCGCGAATACGAACACCATATTTGCGGCTTCTGGCGGCGATACCTATCGCTCAAGACGCTGAGGCAGATTCGACTCTTATCGTATACACCTTCGACTCGCCCGGAAGTCGTGCCGATGGATGACTTCACGCTGCAAGAAATGTTCTATGCATACCAACACTCCGAAAGCATAAAGACGGAATCGGAGTGGATTGACTGGGTGTTCCGGCTTCGCCAGGCGGACCGCCGTCATGCTCTAGAGTTTGTGGAGGGCTGGAGCGGCTTCCGCATTGGCCTTGTTGGGTCAGTGCCGTGGGTCGCGGCGACTGTAGTGGGTGTTGCGTGGACGGCGAGAGGTGGTGATGCACAGACGGCTTTTACGGTTGCCGCTTTCATTTTGACGGTTGGAACTTGTAAGTTAAGACGATCACTATGAGTATCATCTGCTTACTTGATACAGCTTTACTTGCGCTCCTTGCTATCGTTAGCAAGATTGAGTCTTGAGTTGCACTACTGAGGTCCATTTCTTCTCACTTGAACTTTTCAAGATTTGGCATCATACACATAAACGTAGTTTGCTTCTTCTCCGCCGTGTCCTGGGGTGATTTTGCTCGGCGGTAGCCCGGGGTATCTTATTCGCTGATTATATATTGCGCGATCGCATCCGTTGTTCACAGGAAGCAGATGAAGCAGACGAAGCTTAGAGAAGCGACTTACTTAGTAGTATTTTGCTGTTTCGATATTCAGTGGAGCGATATGAAGTAATGTGTTTTGCGTTCAGGAAATATGGGGCGCGCCTGAGCAGCGAGATGGAGACGCTGCAGTGCTGGCAAACATTCATTGGGCCGGGTGAATCCTTCCAGGCAGCATACATGCTGGGATGCGGCACAGTGCTATGCAGTGGATTTCTCTCTAATACGTGTGGCTACAAAAGGGCATATGAAGAAGAGTGCATTCTCCGATATTGATTTCATCTTCGTTGCCGCCTTGTCGAAGCTTACATATGGCCATGTCGAGACAGAATTCGCTTGTTGTCAGCTCTGGTCGCAATGAGACTCAACGCCTCGCCGAGAGGAGCAATTTTTATTGCTCTGAGTGCCTTAAGAAGATTTTCAAGAAGATTCCATCGGAAGACAAAGACACGAACTTCCATCGGGATATTCATGAACTAGTCGACTGCAGCAAGCGATGTGAGCTGTGTAAATATATTTATAATCTCTTTGGAAAATCCCACATAGAAGATTTTATCGCTCGGGCCAATGAATTTAATATGAAGCCAGTAGAGACTCTTGGTCCCGATGCGGCGAACACGATCGTCTATCACATTGGCGGATTCTCAAGTCTATTACGCTTATCCCAGGCGCCAAAAACTGCACCAACAGTTATCATCTATTATGAAACCAGAGAATCAATCTCAAATGTGAATGGGCATTTCAGTTGGGCTACGGTATCCATATATTTGCACCATTTTGTTAGGACACGGAACGACGCGAGATCCTTTTTTCTTTGTATGGAAGCTGGTACGCCTTGTGTGTTCTTAGTCAGAATAGCCAGAAATTTCTAACCGTTTGCAGGGAGAGCATTTAACCGCCCAATATGGAGTGGAATAGAGCCGGTTGATTTCCGATCACGAAGCGCAACGATCCGTGAATGGCTCACCGAATGCGAAACGTCCCATCCAAACTGCCGAAGGTCTCCGAAGCCAGACGTCCAGTTAGCAACACGTATACTCGAAGTCCAAGAGTTTGAAACCGACCATTACTCGGTCAATCTCGTTTCAACTAAAGAAATCGACTTGTGCAGTAGACCTTACATCGTCCTAACTCATGTATGGGGTGGCAAAGAGGTGCCTTGTAAGACAACTAAGAGCAATATAGCGAAATACTTTGACTGCGGCATTGATTTCGATAGTCTCCCAAAGACTTTTCAAGATGCGGTCCGTCTTACGGTAGCTATTGGGTTCAGGTACCTTTGGATAGACAGTTTGTGTATCATCCAAGACGACAAAGAAGATTGGCAGCGAGAGAGTGCCAAAATGGCAGCAATCTACGGTGCAGGCACTATTACTCTCTCTGCAACTAGTGCTGAAAACAGCGATGGAGGATGTGGTCTATCTCCAAAGATTCAGTCTGTAACTCGATTTTGCAGTACTGACCCCAGACGCCCTGACTTTGCCGTCAAGGAAAAAGATATCATACTTCGTCATCCGTCAAACACCATCACAGGGCAGCTGCGCCATGAACCGGTTTACAAAAGAGCATGGATACTTCAAGAAAAGATACTCTCGCGTCGGGTTCTGCATGCTACCTACTCTCAATTTGTGTGGAAATGTAACGTAATCACGGAGAGCGAAGATGGCATAGCGTACAACCAGAAAACATATTTGCCTCCGGATAAAGCATGGCGCACCTTTTATAGAGGGTTTCCACAAGAGATGCGTGATGGTGTTCATGAGGAACAAGATGTCTTTGAGTTCGAGAGGCGCTGGTGGATTTACGCAACCGATTACTCGAAGCGTTCCCTCACCCATACAAGCGATCAGTATGCCGCTTTGGCTGGCATTGTACAGTTTCATCAAGACATTTCAGGCGATCGACCTGTGGTAGGTCTATGGGAGCGTCATCTGATAATCCATCTATCATGGGAAGTAAGGCGCGATACTCGAGAGCATAAAACCCGTCTATTTGAGCCAGCTGATCGTCGACCAAGTTGGACATGGATGACGTTCACTCATGGCAGCGTTGAACTAAGTCCATATTTTCAATGGAGCTATCTCACAAAAAATGAATCAACACCAGAAAGTCTGGGTATGGTGTATCAAGCCCAAGTTTTGAGCACCGATATCAGGTGGAGCAGCGAGCCGTTAACATCTGATCCGAGCGGCAGCACCGTCAGCATTCGTGGGATAATGCGCCGCATGCGAAAGCCAAAGCCCGTTCGGACCGCCATGTATAGTCCGTTATGCCTAGACCCGGGAATGTCTGATGAGAGGGGAGAGAATGGCGAATATGACACAATTGCTCTCTTCGCCTATGGACTTAGACCGGGTTTGACGAACCAATCCCCAGTTGTAACGACTGTGTACTTAGTTGTTAAAGCGGTAGAGGAGAAAAACGCAGGTACTTATATGCGCATTGGGTCGATGCGTTTGACCGTAGATTTCGATTTGTATAGTGGCCGAGAATATAGGCCTGAAGGCGTTGAAATGGACATCACCCTTGTCTAGTTAAAGAGGTGGCATATCACAGCTGCTCAACATATGCATTATGAGCATTGAAGTGGAGAAAAGAAAATATCCAAGCCCTGTAATGACATGTTGCGACCGATCAGGTGGGCAGTCCTGTAGCTGATGGGCCCCGCTACGTCAGCTCCTTTGGCGGGGCAGCTCAACCAAGTTGAGAGCTGAAACAAGCGCTAGCTATACAAGACCCTCTCATTCCTCGTTGCTTCTCTCTTTTCCAGTATTCTCCCATATCCCAACGTTTTTCTTTTGAATAAACACAAGAGCATACGAAGACACCAACACGATGCCGCAGTTCAGCGACATCTGGCTACCATGCCTGATTCTGCTTGTTTTTTGGGCTCGCCCCACCGCAGCTTTTGGTGCGGGCAACATCGCAAGCTTGAGTTCCATTGAGGGACAGAACTGGCGTCATGGAGATATCGAGGACACTCTTCTTACGCTACTCATAAGCGGTCACACTGGCAAGAAATTCAGCAAGATGGACGTCAAGCGTGTCTACTTTGGCAACTGGCTGCGCGACTACTCGCAAGCAGTCGATGTGGGCACTGTCAAGATGGTCTCAGCAGAGGCGATTCGCATTCTACTATGGGTTCTTGGCTTCATGAGCTTCGGATACGGCACCAAGGAGTTCGAGGTTACCCGTGACCGCCTTGGCTGCTACAGGCCGGAGGAGCACATCGACAACCCCAAGGTCAGTTATGCAGCCTATCTGATCGGACACACATGCTGATCCTTCAGGACTATGCTGACAACATCGATGCCCGCGACTACGATCGCCGTCTACGAGGTCCTGTTGACGAACGCCGTGAGCTCAGTATCGATGAGAGGACAGGCCTGAAGAACTACATTGCCTCGGACGATTTGGGCATCACAACATCGGCTGGCATGGTCCGCGACCTGCTCACACGTTGCATTGATTTGGGTCAACGCTCTAGAGGGCGAGGTCCCGACTTTTACGAGGCTCTGCGTCTTCTCGGTACTGCCACACACTGCCTGGAGGACTATGCTGCCCACTCCAACTATGTTGAACTAACCTTGATCGAGCTTGGTGTACATGACGTTTTCCCCCACGTAGGTAGGAATGCTCGTTTCTACGTCCAGGAAGCCAAAAAGGAGGTCTACCCCATCGTCACCGGTACCTTTGGTGGTGTCGATTTTTTGCACTCTGTATGCGGAGAGATTACGGACAAAGCTACCCAATCCGAGCTTCAAGAGCTTGAAGGTGCCATATCCAACGCAGACAGGAGCAAGAACAAGAGCAAAATCAAGGAGCTCCTCAAAAAGCTCCCAGAGGGCATCTTTGGTGGTAAAGATGAGTCTAGCAAAGCTGATGAGCTTGAGAACAATGCCAACGCTGCAGCTATGGGCAATATGCACATCACCCCCAAGGAGCCAGAAGAATTTACTCAACAGATTGGGGAACTAGTCAAGCAAATCTATCCCATTATGGAGTTCCACGATGAGATCATGCAATCTATTTCTGAATTCATCGAGAAGATTCCCATCTTGCCGGACCTGATTGAAGAAGTCCAGAACCAAGTCACCATCTTCGTCTTCAGTCTGCTTGCTCCCTATATTTTGCCCATTCTCAGCCAAGTCAAGACTGAGCTTGAAGAGGGCTCGAGCGAGGTCATTGCAAGCTCTCGCGAAAAACAGCACATTGTGTTCGACGACGACGATTCCACCGACCCCACTCACAGTATGCTTTCCAAGGATCATTTTTCTAACATCCTCAATGAGCCTGCTGGTCGAGTAGCTTCAGCCACGATTGCCTGGGCTGTACCACAAATTGTCCAGTGCTGGGATGGCCAAGCAGACCCGACGGAGACCATTAACACCATCATTAAAGGTGTGTTCCACCACCCTGCCTGTGTCGAAGCGGATGATAGGGCAAGGTATACCGAAGGCCGTCGCATCATGTACAATACTGTCCGCGACTGGTGGAAGGACCAAAACCAAGGCAGTCTGCGTGAGAAGCTTAGTCGTGAGGGTGTACAAACTGGTCAGAATCACAAGGCTGATATGCACGACAAGGGGCACGGCTGCGGTAAGCCTCTGGGTATGGCCAATAACTTTGGCCCAGCAAGCAGCAAGACGGGTACCAATGCACAGATTCAACAAGCTTCCGATCATGTAGGCAAACTTGCAGGTGAAGCTGTTGGTGGTGGCGCCCTTGGCGGTCTTGTTGGGGGGCTCGTTGGTGGCATTGGAGGCTCTATTCTAGGAAACGCCTTCAATGAGCAGGAGAGGAAGAGTCACAAAGAAGAGAGCTATGGCAACGATGGCTCCTACACTCAGTCGTATTCGGAGACGGGGCACCACCAGGCGTCTTCATATGGTGATAGTGATCGCTACGGAAGTGCCCAGTATCAGCAGACCCAGTACCCAGGCGGTGGGCGTCGGGAGGAGTACTCTCGTGAGGAACGAGATGACCGTGGTGGATCGTACAGCTACCAGCAAAGGGTTGAGACCTCAAGCTATAGTGGATCTGGCGGATACGAGCGTCATGAAGAGCGTCGTGTTCAGCAAGGGAGTGAATGGCGCTCTGAAGAATCGCGTGAGGGTTTTGACCGATCAGGACAATACTACTCGGAAGAAAAAGAGTAGGTAGCTTGCTTCTAACGTAGCAGACGTGTACTGACATTTGACTAGGCGACGCGGTAAGTCTAAGAAGCATGACGACGATGATTCCAACGACTCGGGCGACGGGGATTCCTATGAAAAGCGCATGAAAAAAGAACGCAAGCAGCGTGAAAAGGAAGAAAAGAAGCACCACAAGCACCACAAGCACCACAAACACGGTAGTCGTTCTGGAGACTCGGACGACGATGCTGACAAGCGTCGATCAGGTTCGGGAGAATACAAGCGTCGCTCCCGCTCTCGTTCTCGTGAGCATGAGCGCCGCCGTGAAAAGAGCGGCAGTCGCTCGCCCAAGCGTTATTCGGGCGGTCACAGCCAGGAACAGCGCTATGGTGAGGAATCAGGATATGGGCGCCGACAGCAAGACTATGGCCGCGAAGAATCATACAGGTATGAAGATCTAGGACATGGCATTGACCCCAAAAAACAACAGCCATGAACAGTCTCAGAATGTTGCTGACTCTTGTAGTTCCGGCGGATATGGTCGTCAAGAAGAATCAGGCTACGGTCGTCAGGAAGAGTCAGGATACGGTCGACGTGAAGAGTCAGGCTATGGTCGCCGAGAAGAGTCGGGCTATGGCCGTGAGGAGTCTTCTCGCTATGGCAATGAGTCTTATTCTTCTGGTGGATACGGCCGTTCTGAAGGCCTTGAGTACGGTGGCGAGCGCCCTGAGAGATCATATGGCGCTTCCGGCGTGCCTGGAGGCTTCGGTGGAGATGAGGATGAATATGGCCAGAGGAGACAAGAGTATGGCTCAGGCAGGTCTGGTGGTAGATACGGAGGCTCCGGCGGATATGAGGATGAGGATTATGGAAGGCGATACTGAGTATGACGTCCCACAGGATGGGTTGTCTCATGCTTATGTGCCGTGCCTGGAGCACCATGATGACTTTATTGTTGCATCCGAGTAAGCACTTATCGCAAATGACGGATGGCTTACTGCCAAGAACGATATACAATTCTTTGAAAAGTGTACTTATGCTAGGTGCAACGTGGAACTCCCATACCAGACATGCACAATTCGCCATTCCTTACAAGATCAGTTTTACCTTTGGTTTCTACATCTAGATCATAGTGTGTGGCTCCAGTGCATAGAGTGGATGTCTTTACCCTGCTGGGACCTTTCCTAAATGATGTAATCTGGCTGGTTATGTGCATTCATGCTTTCTCTCTTTCTCTCTTTCTCTCTAGTGTCATGTGGAAGGCCAAAGAATGGCTTCTGTGCCAGCTGGATTGAATGCGAGGATAACTTTAAAGGGTCACCATGCTTCGTCCAGTACATGATGTTTGTAGATGCTGAGGCAATTGAACACACGGACGTTAGTCTTCATTGTTCATCATTTTTATCACATGGAACTCCTAGATAGTAAGAACCTACAATATTATGTAAGAGAAACAGTGGCTGGTGCATGATTGCTGTAAATGTATGAATATGTGGAACATGTGAAGGCGAGATGGGCGTGACCTAATGCGCGCAGCTTAAACGCGCTAGCATCAAGCCGGGACCATGCCAACCCTCACGTTGGTAAGAATGACCAGGACGCGCCAACGTCACTTTTTCTACTCTGCTGTGTTTCTCTAGCCGTTTGTTTTACCCGTGGTGCCAACAAAATGACGAGCATTGACGAGCTTTTCAAAGGCGCAAACGGCACTGCAAAGCGCAAGTTTGAGAACCCAAATGAAGCCGATCCAACGCAATCGTACAAATCCGCAAAGCTAAACGGCAATGGCGACGTAAAGGGCTCAGCGCAAGCCTCGGTAGCCGACGAAGAAGACGATGACGAAGCTGGCCCTTCATTACCACCGGATTTCGACGACGGCCCAGGCGACGACGACGAAGGACGATTCTTCGGCGACGGCTTGGACGAGAATGCGCGAGATGCCATGGAATATATTGATGCGCTAGACGGCGACGAGGCGATAGGAGAGGAAAAGTACGATGTTCCCTGGGTGCGCAAACTGGCGCTCAACTTTGAGAAGAAGGTCAATAAGAATGCTTCGCTACGCGCAAAATATGAAAACGACCCAACAAAGTTCATGGAGTCGGAGGGCGATTTGGATGAAGGCATAAAGGCGCTGAGCATATTGTCAGAGCACCCGGAGCTATACGAGGAATTCGCAAAGAGCACAGCAGCGTCAAAGTTGGTGGAACTGCTGGCGCATGAGAACACAGATATTGCAATCGCTGCAATTGAAATGATATCGGAGCTCACGGACGAGGATGTGGGAGGAGAGCAGGAACAATGGGATGCGCTCGTGGTGGCATTCATGGAGGCAGACTTGGTCAGCCTGCTCATCTCCAACTTTTCGCGCTTCGACGAAACCGACGAGGCCGACGCATCTGGCGTATACAATTCGCTCAGCGTAATTGAGAATCTACTGTCGCAACCAGCAAACACAGACTTGATAGGGAAGGAAACTACGCTACTAAAGTGGCTACTGGACAGAATCCAGAAGCCCGAGAAACCAACATCGCAAAACAAACAATACGCCGCCGAGATCCTCTCCATCCTTACACAATCCTCACGCCCAAATCGAAACCACGTCGCCGAAGCCAACGGCGTCGAAATCTTCCTCACAAACCTTGCGCCGTACCGACGAGACGACCCAGAAAGAGACAGCTACGAAGAAGAATACATGGAAAACCTCTTCAACTGCCTCTGCTCCATAACCGAAGAGCCCCTCGGCAAATCCAAATTCCTTGAAGCCGAAGGTGTAGAGCTCTGTCTCCTCTTTATCCGCGATGGCAAAACAAGCAAAAGTCGCGCCCTAAAAGTCCTCGACCACGCCTGCGGCTACGCTTCAGAACCTACCTCCGACCCCTCCTCCAATAACAGCAAAGGCAAAGCCGCCGCCCAAGACCAAGATGCAGCACCGTTATCCAACAGCGCAATGGCCGTCTGCGACAAAGTCGTCGAATCCCGCGGTCTCAAACCCTTGTTTTCAACTTTCATGAAATCCAAGAAACTAGATCCCCAACAAACCGAACACATCCTCTCCATCTTCGCCTCCCTCTTGCATTCGCTACCCGGAAATTCCGATTCGCGGTTCCGCCTCCTCGCCAAGTTCCTCGAGAAAGACTACGAAAAGATAACGAAGCTCGTTTCCCTACGACGGGACTACGTAGCCCGCCTCGCGGCTTTCGATGCGCGGAGTGCGGCGCTAAAACAAGGATTGAGCGGCGAGGAGCTGGAAGAGTGGGAGCTGGAGAATGTGACGGAGAGGCTGGGTGAGGGACTGTATTGTTTGGAGCGTATTGATGCGATTCTGGCGTGGTTGGTGGCCGAGGATGCGGGGGCGAAGAGGGCGGTGCAGGAAAGGCTGGCGGAGAGGGATGAGGGGTTGGGGGATGTCAAGAGGACGTTGCAGGCGCAGTTGGATGGGGTGTTGGCGGTTGAGAAGGCCGAAAGGGATATGTTGGAGGCGTTGGTTGGGTTTTTGGAGTAGGCTTGAAGGGAAGAGAGAGATGGCAGGGTGATTTGTATGATTATGCATGGGGGAGTTTGGAGAAGCGCGTGGGATACCTGGCTGCTATGACGAGAATTTGGGATAGGGAATTTAAGCTTCATTCGTGTTGGTATCATAGCGATACTAGATCTCTGAGATATATACATATATATAGCCAGTTGATCAACTCCAGATTGATGCTTTGCCAAGATGAAATTGCTCTTGTACCAATCCATGCTCCTCATGCTCTTCGTTTATCTCTTTTTCTTGTTTTCTCAGTTTAGACTTCATGCAGACACCAATACAGCTTAGCAATACCTTCTCTAAACACTTGCCTACCCCTCTGCCTCAAACTCATACGCGTTCGACTTATGCTTGGGTTCAAACTTGAAGTTCTCATGAGCCGGACCAAGGAACATTTCACTGCCGCACTGTTAGTTACCTGTACAATCTTCCTAACCATAACAGAAAGAACACACCTGATCTTAATCCAATCCTTATAATGCTCGCTCGCCATCAACGTCTCCAACTCGTTGCGTCCCCTAAACCTCGGCGGCCGATCATTGATATGCGGGGGCAGATGCTCCAGCAAGCCCACAGGCACATATCGATGTGCAAAGCTCAGCCACTCTAGCAAAAAGCGGCGCGTAGTCCCAATTCCCATCTCATCGGAACCCCAAGTCTGGAGGCCATATTTTGTAAACTTTTCAATGTAGGAAAGGCGCTCGGTGGCGGACTTGTCGAGGTACTGGCCCTTTTCAATTTCCTCGAAGAGCCAGGGCTTGATGAGGGCGCCGCGGCCGGCCATGACGGTGTCGACTTTTGCGTTCTCGAGGTGGTTGTAGTAGTCGATATGGGAGTAGCAGTCGCCGTTGCCGACGAAGTAGACGTGGCCGCCGTTTGCGAGGTCGCGGGGGTCGGCTTCAGCGATGGTGTCTGTCTGGGCATCTTTTTCTTTGCGCAAGCGGTTGATGAGGGCGGAGCATTCAGCGATGTAGGACCAGTCGGCGCTCTTAGTGTAACGCTGTTGCTTGCTGCGGCCGTGGAGTGTGATGGCTGCGATGCCGGATGTGCCTTTGCCGGATTCGACAGCTTCGTGGCCGCCTAGGACAAGACGTTTGATAAGCTTCTGTGCAGTGGGGTGATTGTCTTTTGTGCCCATGCGGATCTTGACAGTGATGGGGACTTCTTTAGAGACATAGGTCATGCCGCGGAGGATATGCTCTAGTTTTGCTTCGCTGTCTAATAGTGCAGAGCCGCTTCCCTTTTCGCAGACGAGGTTGATCGGACATCCACAGTTGAGGTCAATGGCTCGTAGCTTGGGACAGTGGTCAGTTAGCACTTCTACAGTCTTTGTAGCCAACCACGGCTTGTTTGCAGCAATCTGGGCACCGAATTTGAGATCGGTAGAATTATCGTAGCCCTGCACAACGGTGTTCTTTGCTAGGAACTTTGGTGGGCTGATCTCGGATTCGTGAGCCTTCATGAGTGCCCATTCGCCTTTATCACCTTGGATCAGAGGCATGCCCATGGCCATCTCGCTCCATGTCACTTGGCAACCAAAGTCTATACAAAGTCGTCGGTAGGGCAGGTTACCCTGGGTAGTAAGAGGTGCAAGCATTGGCGTCTCAGGTCCGTAGTATAGCCTTCGCTTCTCAGACGGTTTGAAAGGCGCTTCGACATATTCTGCCCTGCGCGCTTCCTTCTCCTCCTTGAGAATCTCCGGATCCATCTGAGCAGCATCAAACATGTCTCGCTCGTTGCGGCTGTTGCTTTCAATCCATTGTAGGTACTGATCAGATCGTGGAGTGCCAATCTTCCGTCGCGACAGGCCGAACTTGACTTCCTTGGGCACAATATTGACAACTTCAGCTTCAGCCTCGTCGTCATCGCCAGATAGCTTCGCCTTGAGTTCGGCGTTCTCTTTCAGTACCAGCTCCTTTCTGCCGTCCTCGGTGGTACGCTCTTCAGAGTGGCTGCCAACAAAACGACACTTCCAACCAAAATGACAAAATCCCTTGACAGCATAAATTGGGCACTGGCCATCAAAAGTGGTCAAGTCTTCTCGCCGGCCCTCCTTCAGGTACTTGCGGAGGTCGTGTTCAAACTTGCATTTTTCACCAAATGGGCAATCCTTGGGTGAGAATTCATTGTACTGTGCGCGAGTACCGCAGAGAGGTATCTTGTCGCGCGAGCTTCCAAAAGTGCGACTGGTGTTTTGGCCTTTTTGCTTCTTTTCTTTCTTGTTCTTGCCCTTGCCTCTGGGAGCATCGCGAGCATCAGTCTTGGGCAGGCCTTCAGATTTGTGGTCAGCATCGGCCGCCTCAGCCGCATCGTCGTCAATCACATGATCTCTTGCGTCGGCCTTGTTGTCGTTTCGATGTATCAAGAATCTGGTGTTCTTAGCACGTGAGTCCCTCTATGTTGGTGATGCAGCATACTCGGCCTTGATGGGCGCAACGCCCTTGACCCGTTTGAAAGAAGTGTCAGCAGCACCCTCAGCTTCCGGAGTGCTCGTTCTAGCTCTCTTCTTTGGGCTCGAGGGCGCCTCAAATTTCACATCAACCATGCCATTGCCACCATTTACGCCGCTGGAATCGAGTGCGATGCCGCCGTCGGTTGGTTGGTGGGCAGGTTCGACCCCGTTTCCGTTGCTAGTAGACATTTTGTGGCGCAACGAGAAGCAGGTTCTTGATATGTTGTTGGCGTTGGCGCTCAATAGAGAAAAGCACTCGCTCAAAAAGTGAGTGCAAATGCGGCTACAAGAGGCTAGACCGGCGGCGGTCCAAGCGCTAGTGAGCAAGCCGGGACTGTGACGTAGAGCTTCATAACTAGGCACCCTGCGGCTCCTACATCAGATTCGCGTCGCCAGTTCCCACTTTACCATCATCTCTCCTCCAATCCTCTCAAACACTCGACCTGTTCATCACCTCCTTTGTGGCTGCTGCATTTGTCTGCAAGTCAGCTCTTCTCAGCTTCATTGTTGATTCCGCTCAACCCCGCTCCCACACAAACACCAGCTCGCGTCGTGCGAATATTACCACGTCACCAACAACATGACGCTCTACTACAGTCTGGTAAGCTACCCTTCTTCAATTACCTCCTTTCCTAGCACAACGATGCCCTGGCTGTTCGGTGTTCGTTGCTCGCGTGCTCTGTTCACGTTGCTTTTGGAAACAGAATGTGGCCTGATGCTGACTGCCTCCTGCTTCTAGGTCTTCCTCCTCCTGGTGACAGAGATGCTCATCTTCTGTGCCCTCATCGTCCCCCTGCCGTTCACATGGCGCCGCAGGCTCTTCACCTTCATTTCGGAGAGCCCGATAATAGCGAAATTACAATATGGCATGAAGGTATGTGGTGGCAGTACAGCCTTACACAAGTCATGTCTGACATGTCCAGATTACGTTCATCTTCATTCTCATACTGTTCATTGATAGTGTGAACCGCGTTTACCGCGTGCAAATTGAGCTTTCCGGCTCAGACGACCAGGGCCGCTCAGGGTAAGTCGACAAACACCTCTGTTGTGCTGCAAGACTAACACCTCAAGAAGTGTCGCTGCTGGAGGCATCGAACGCATGGAGGTCCAGGCTCGCAAGTTCTACTCGCAGCGCAACATGTACCTGTGTGGTTTCACCCTCTTCCTTTCGCTCATCCTCAACCGCACTTACGTCATGATCCTCGATGTTCTCCGTCTCGAAGAGGAGGTCAAGAGCCTGAAGGGTGACCCCAAGGCCAGCAAGAACTCTGCCCTGAAGAATGCCGGTAGCCCTGGTGAGGTTGGTGCTCTCAGGAAGGAGCTTGAGGCCAAGGACCGTGACATGGAGAACCTGAAGAAGCAGGTTGAGAACATGCAGAAGGAGTACAACCGCATGGGCGACGAGGTTGCTGGCAAGAAATAGACGAACACGAGCAATTTCGAACGGATAAGGAGAGTAAGCCATAGCTATGCCGACATGATGGAATACGCAGGTCGGCACTGACTCCACGAATGTCTGGGAGAAGAATCATCAGTTTATGGTTACGGCTTTAAAATTTGTGTTGGAAAAACAAGGCACTTTTCGAGGATACACGCTAGTACAGTATTATTGTTTAAGTGCCAGGACTAGTTGAGGCAGCGGGGAAAGAGCATTAGATCGCTTTTGCTGTTGGCATGGCAGTTTGATAGCCATGCATGATGAGCGTCTTCATTTAATCAATCCTGTTGGTAACACAGCGAAGCTTCTTGAAAAGGTTCCTTTGGTGTTGAAGATGGTGGGTTTTTCTTTATCTCTTTTGCCCACTTCCTTGTTTCAAAAAATCCGGAAAGGCGGTACTCGTTCAACAAAGCGTATTGTCCAGCTGATTGTACCAAGCCTATCTGTTCCGTGTCGAAATTGTTTGCACGTTCATGGCTCCAATCTTGGTTGAGAGTCAACTTCCTTTACGATATCTTCTTCACTAATTGGTACTCCTGCGTCTCCGCCTAGGCGGAGTCCTACAAGAGCCGCCTCAACAGTCTGCACTGCGTAGTTAATCCATTTCTCTGGGAGCTGACATCTAACTGCTCATTGCGTATCCAACATACTTTGCACGCTGCCCGGCTGCATCAGGCGGCGTTTGACAATATCGTTAGCCGGCGCAAGTACCTAGCTTGCTTTTGTTGTCGTGAGTCTTGGGACATCTTACAGAGTGGGTTTATCAATCCTTACGCATAGTGCTTTTCGCATTGCAAAGGGCGACGACTATTTAGCTCTCTATACTATAGGTGACTGGAAAAGAATCCGGCCATCTGGTATGTGCTTATTCGGTGGCCTATTTAGGTACCACCATTGCCTGGATGGGCTCAAGAGAGTGCTATGCCAAGGGCATTGCTGGGGGTAACATGATTGTATTCGATGGAGAGCTCTATCAAAGCGCGTCTAGCCCGTTACAGTTCGTCCCCCTTCAATTCCACACCCAAACATCAGTAATGCCGTAAATAAGACTACTGTCCAGGCAGCATCCAGGTCCATTCCAGTTGGGGTCGCCTGCGTTAGCTGGTGGGAGTACGACATCTTGCCTAACATCCCCGTCTGTGGCTATTTCCATGACACAGGCAGTACCTGCTCCATTATTCTACGTGACTAGGCCACTATCCCAGATGTTGATCTGATACAAAGGTGTATCGACTTCCCAGTCCCAATGAGCGGAGCCCCCTTGGAACACTCCAGCCTGCCCACGTGAGCCTTTGCCCATTCTGTGAACCTTTCTCTTGCACGTCGTGGCGTCAAAAGTTCCGACATCTCCCGATTTGCATTTTGGGAAGGTGCGATCTGCTAAAGCTACAGAAAGCATTGGAGCAAATGCCAGTACTTGGACAGTAGTCTTCATTATTTCGGATATATGAAGCTGATAGGATAGTGACAAAGAGTGTTTTTTAAGATATTGTAATGATTCAGGTAATCAGACAGTTAATCGATGTTTGGTATTCTGTAAAAATATGATTGTGACCGGTAGGACAACAGACGGTCTTATACGGCTGTCTTACCATCAATCGCCGTTAAATCTGGTGACACGTTTGCTCACTCATCCTTCCACACCGCTATTCCTTGCAAACGCTAAGTACGACCTCGTATTAACATATTATTGTAGCTCAGGTACAACTATAATCTTGCTTTTGAATAGAGTGGACGGCTTTTCCCGAATCATCTGTCCAATCAGTAGTCCTCTCAAAGCCTCAAAGGCCTGTTCAGTTGCAACTCCGTTTCCGTATGATAGGCTCCGTTATGGTTCCCTTTTTAAATAGAGACGGGAACGGTGTGGAGTTGTGGCAAAACAGAGTTTTGGAAAGCAGAAACAGGCTCCATTTTATTGGCGCTACCATACAATGATCTTAGTGCTTAGTACCTGACCCATATGTTCTTAATTTTGAGCGATATCGAGCTCCGTTAAAAAGTGGTATCTAAGATGCCCTTCCATGTTGAATTCACTAAAAACTACATATGTGTTGTGGTAGCGTTAGCTGGTGTTGTAGATGGTATAGCCCAGGCTACTACAGCCAATATCTACTTGTCCTGCTACACTAGAGAGTCCCTTGGCTGCGCACGGGCTCCTCGTTCCAATCATCTTACTTACAGCTGTGAGCAGCATGAACCTTGTTAATAGTAACGGTACTTAGCGTGCCAGGATTCATCTCATCCCCACTAAATAACGACACATGTCTCCACACTTTAACTTTGGCGCGCAGTAACTTCAAAACTATGGCTCCGATTAATGAAGCAATTGCAGACCTAGAATTGCGAGATCTGGGAGAACAGTTCCTTCTCATATTGTACGAGCTTCAGCATCCATTACGACCCCAATGGCATATGATAGCAACATAGCAACATTAATATATCTGACCTCCGAGCCCCGCAGCCTATTTACGTCAACATAGAGAAAACGCAACCTTATCTTTGTCACGACCATCTGAAGCTTCGCCGTGCATAATACCATGAACGTAGCACGTGCCCAAAAAGAGGAAGTCCTTACCTATCGGTCGTAATACCACAGGAAATTGGGAGCCATACAACACACTAACAACATCATTTTGAGCTGCAAAGTAGGGTCCCAATCCGAAATAACCCGATTCAGTAACGAAAAATGCTCTGTTCTTGCACGCGTTTGCCATAGCTTCACGGTATTGGCTGGCGAGGGTTACTGAAGTGTTCGAGTTTTCCGGAAGATCGGATATCGCAGGAGGTAGTGATCCTTTGTTGACCATCTCAAGAAGGCAATCGTAGCCATGTTTGGTTGCTGCTGTTGCTGGTCTATAATGCAAATCGACCCCAGCAACAACAGTTGTGGCCAATGACGTTCCCACATCAAGAGCACCGTCGCTATGTCCCAACTCTACGAGTATATTGTCAATTTGGGAAATGATGTTTTTAAGACTATTTGCATCTTCCAGATCTAGTGTTCTCATTCGATCGGTGATTTTCGTTATGCCGCCTAATTTGAACCCGTCCATCACGATGCTGGCTTCGATTCCATGGGGATTGAGTGAAGTGACTGATGATTTCTTCCCCGGGCAGACATCAAAGTGCAGGGACATGAAGTTCGGATCTTCTGCAAGATCTTTTCCAATATGCCACTTGGGCACCCATGATGGAAAACCATCCTGCCGGATGTCTCTATTCGACGTTCTGTGTCTTACATAGTCCAGGAAGGATAGGTCACCTTCTTGGGCCAAGCACCAAGCAGCATCGCGATATGTCTCTGCCAACGGTTTCCGATAGTCAGGTACAAGCCTCAAGTCATCGGTCATATCAAGTATGCCGTAAACCTTGTCAACGGGATTTGTCGCTAGCCGCTGTTGTCCAAGGTCAAGCAAGTAGAGTGCTCTGGGCGCTTTTCCAGCACCAGAGCAATGGTAGCCGTGAGTGCTATCGACAACATCATTCATATCAGCCGTGTATGAACATTGTAGGCGGAGATCCGGGTCGACAAAGTAATAGTTGTAAACCAGCCATGCGGCCGCTCTTGTCGCGTCTAAGAGGTCAAAGTGAGAAGAACCGCAAAAGCATTGATTCGTACGCGCCAATGCCGCTTCTTGCAACACCCATACACGCCTTCAAAATAGTTAGACGCTTTTTAATAGCAAGTATATAGGGGACAAACTAACCGAAACCATGGCAATCCAAAAAACCGAAGCAATGATTGGGTGCTATATTTTGCCTTCATTCCAGTGCTGGAATATTGCCATGCACCTAATTCGTTTCTCAAACGCGAGAACGATCCTTCTGTTTCCGAAGCGTCCTTCAAGATTGCTGCAATACTATCTCTTGCTTCTCCTACATCTTCGTCGCCGAGATAGATCAGGTTTCGGGTACCATTACGGTAAATTGCGCCCATAATGGCCACTTGTCGACTACGCTCTTCGATATCGTTTTGGTTTATACAAATTGCATCAAGCCAAACAGTTCGGTCCGATTGACATAACCGTACATGTCGAAGAGCTGCAGCAGAGCTTGAAGGTACGGAAATGGGAAGATTGTTCAACACTATGATATTTCGCTGCGCTGCATTTCCCCAACAGTAGGAAATAGTCTCATACTCGGGGATTTGGTGCGAATCAAGATCTTTATGTGAAAGTGTGCATACGAGTGGATCGTTGAACCGGCCGGCTGATATCGTAATCAGGCGGATTTCACGGGGGGAAGCAAGCGTTAAGTACGGGAACTGATAATTTGGTGTCATTTGAATGGCTTTAAGAATATGGGAGTTCTTGTAAGAGACTTCGCATCCAACATTGCAGGCATGGAATTGATGCTGATATTGTACAAGACGAACCCACAGGCTCAACCACACCACAGAGCGGTGCTGCTGCCTAAGACGCAGAGCTCCGAGTTCGAATTATGCCTTATTCCAATCGCTAAATGAAGAAAAAGCCTCATTGTGTAACCTTGGTCGAGCCCTTTCCGCCATGTAAGTTTTTATTGGCCCTCATATCAACAAGGCTTCGAACTTCCCGCGGACCTGTGACATCTACTCTTACTTCAACATTGCCCAATCCTAGATTCTGAGACAGATGCATACATTGGTCGAGTCAATTACAAATACTTAATAAGCCGAGAATACTATAGGTAGTACTATGCTCTATCTTTCCTTGCAGGGTTTATCACATCGGCGACAAGGCGCATTTCTGGTCAGCGCTATCTGTACGAGTGTGTTGGTGTCACCCATACGAAAGCCACACAAGTAATTCTACATTTGCTTTTTTTGAGCGCAGCACTCTGTCATGGATGTGATTTGATCGATTATGGAGAGCTTCTTCTAGCTGTCTTCGAATCTTTATGATCTACATTAGCCTAAGGCAGGCCCTCTTAATTATTTTTAACTTAGCAGTGTATATATAAGCTTAACAAACGCTATTTTAGCTTATTACTTGTTAGTTTATAGTAAATATAGACTAGAGTATTAAATAAGTCTCTACCTTAGGATTGTTTTTTCTGGTTATCTCTACTAATACTTATCCAATTATGAGTTGTAGTATCTTCTTTTATAGCCTTTACTTAGAACTAGTATTTCATTCAATTTAGCAATAGATTAACTCTAATAGGTATATATCAATAAAAATGTTGAATACAACGAGTTCATGTAAGTATATTTTTACTAAAAAGAGAAACACAAGAAGAAAGGCCAACGTTGCTATTTGTGCATAGTACTGAAACGCTTCTAACTGCTGAAGAGGTTATATTGAACCCTACCTCAAACGCTATTGGATGAACATGGATGCTTGCAGTGAGAATACTTTCACTATGTTGAACATCAACGCTAGGTTATCGTTTCTACAGCTTCTTGTTGTGATGCAGTACCTACAGGTGTTCTAGGAGTCATTTCTTCAAATTATACATGATCAATTATGTTGAATAAAAAATCCCAAAGGCTACACACAGAAAGCTCCATGACAGTCACAGGAATTTTGAGACCATAGAGATTTTAACTAGCCAACAAAACACTGCTCCAGATCAAGTCTAATGCACCAGACTTATTCATTATATTTGAACACCCTCCTTCCCACCTTGTGCTTACAGGCAAGCCCAGACATATGTGCATTTGGTGCCCGGGGGCGTACATGATGTCCTTCCATCTTTCCCATCGCCTGCGAATGCCCCTGGCCCGCCTCTGCAGCCGGTTGTTGGGTCATAGGGATCCGCGTACTGAGTATCGATGTCGCAAACATCATCGTTGCCACATGTTCCCGAGATGTTCCAGACTTTATTTGTCGAATCCTGGGAGAAGACGATAAGGAGGTAAGCAAAGAGGATGATATAGCGTAGCATTTTCTTTGGATAGAATGAAGCAGACGGTATGTAGGAATGTAGTTTCAAAGGTTGATGGACGTAAGTAGGGTGAATATCTTGATGTTAAAAAGAACCTGTATTTATACCTATAGAACCTGTTCTTCGATCGATGGTCAATCGATGGGAAGATGTTGAACCCTAGGACATAAGCAGATATACGAGGCATAATATTGAGTGTAACCGCAAGGGGGCAAATCTAGACAATTCTAGACAAAAGCGCGTAAACAGAGTTTTTGAAAGAATCAAAGCGCATCGCTTACAAGTAGAAAACGCCATGCTATGAAGTGTAACCGTAAGGGGACGATCTAGACTCTTCCAATTTACTTACGTTACTATGCCCACTGAGGAAGTTTCCCCCAATTCAAGTTCTGTGACGGGCTGAACGCCCTTTGGATGGCTCCGTAATAGAATCTCGGTCTATTGTTGTAACGTCAATGCGCAATACGAAAGATATATTGTTACACGGGGTTGGGTGCTGATACTTCTCTAGGCTCGATCCAGGTTAGGGCGAGTGAGATAATCTGAACAGCGCCGTGAGGTATTCGTCTCGCTATATAGTGGGGTGGGCGTGCTTATAATGTAGATAATAATAGGTTTAGTAATTCCTAATCTATAT